GTTAGAACGGTGAAAAAAAAACAATCAATCCTTCCATTTATGACCATCCCAAGCATCTCATGGTCACACAAGATTGCAGTTTGGGTGCTTTGCAACTGGCAATAGTGCCACAATAATCTATTTGGGATTTCAAAAGAATATCTTGAACAGACCCCAAATCTGTTTCAAGCAAGGTTTTATATGATTATGCAATTTTTCTAGCATTTTAGTCTCATCAAAAACAGTATCTAGGGCAGTGGTTTTCAATCTTGGCAACGTTTTAAGATGTGTGGACCCCAACTTCAAGAATTCCCCAGCTAGGGAATTCTGGGAGTTGATGTCCTTAAATCTTAAAAGTTACTAAGGTTGAAAAACAGGGATCTGGGGCACGTCAATGCTACAGACATGACTCAAGACAACAGCGGAAGTGAATGCATTCATAATGATGCTGTGATTGCGCATCCCAATAGATATGTTGCTTAGCAGCCATAAATCAGTCAATTCCTGGTGGATACCACTAACCTCTAGTTAACCCCAGGAGAAGTAAATATACCAACAACAACAAAAAGTATACTTGTACAGTTGCATAATCCTTCCCTCTTACTGTGACAAACCTTGCTCCGTGCAACAGAAACCAAGCAGACTATGTGCATGACAGAAATGTGTTAAATGATACAGTATTTATTATTGCTCAATGTGCCTTCCTTTGTAGTCCATCTGGTGGCCATGTATTATCTTTGGAGAGGTCTCCAAGGTAGCATCACTTAGCCCCAATTCAATATTCTTTTCAAAATTGGGATTTTTATGATAAAAAGAATGATCGCAGGAACTGGGTATGTCTAGTTTAATGAAAAGGACTAGGGGTGACATGATAGCAGCATTCCAATATTTATGGCAGGGGTGTCAAACTGCTGGCCCGTAGGCCGGTTTCATCATATCGAGCCCGCACCCACCCCATTGCCAGCAATGCAGTCGCTATATGTTGCAACACGTCATGTGATGTGGTGAGTTTGACACTCGTGATTTATGAGGTTGCCACAATGAAGAAAGGGTCAACGTATTCTCCAAAGCACCTGAAGGCAAGACAAGAAGCATTGGATGGAAACTAACCAAAGATAGAACCAACCTAGAACTAAGGAGAAATTACCTGACAGAACAATTAATCAGTGGATCAACTTGCCTCCAGAAGTTGTTAAGTGTTCCAACACTGGCGGTCTTTAAGAGATTGGACAACCATTTGTCTGAAATGGTATAGGCTTTCCTGATTGAGCGGGGTTTGGACTAGAAGACCTCCATATCCCTTCCATCTCTGTTATTGTATAATACAAAGGTCAAACTTCATTCCACGTTAACTTCACATCCATAAAGTTTTCTTGGCTGCAGTTTGGGAGTGGTGTGCTTTTACCATTGCCTTATTCCAGAATATGCTCCTTTCAAGTCTAATCTTCAATTCTCTTGGTCCTTGAGGTCTCCCATCCGAACACTAACCATGCCTTTGCCTGCTTAGTTTCTGAGTCCAGAAAGGGGTGGTTGAAATACTGTATATTTAATATGTATTTAATGTGAAAAGATACAGGTAGTTCTTGACTTGCAGCCACTTATCTGGTGACTGTTTTGAGTTGACAACAGCACTGAAAAATGTGACTTATGACTGGTCCTCACACTTACAGCCATTGCAGTAATCCAGGTGCTTATCATGTATTTACCACAGCTCCACCATCTCGGAATGAAGTGATCACCATTTATGATCTTCCGACAAGCAGAGAAGCTGGATTCACTTAGCAACAGCATATTTCACTTAAGTATTGCACATTTGCTTAACAACCATGACAAAAATGTTCATAAAATCAGATGTGACTTACTTAATATCTTCATGAACACAGAGCACTACCATCACCCCATTTCCAAATAAGAAAGCCGTTGAAACGTGTAATACTTTTAGCCCTTTTTTGGGAAAACAGTGAAGAGGAATAAATTTGTGTGTGACAAGGTTTACTGTTCCAATGAATAGAATGTTTATGTGCTGCCAACTACTGAATCATCTGTAGTGGGGCTAGATAATAATCTCTAGCTAGGATTACATTTTCAACCCTATTTTAAGACCCTCTTAGCATTCAGATGGAAGCAAAGTGACTGATCAAACTGATCCAAATTCCACCAATCTCTGCACAACCCTGGCATACAAACCATAAATGAGAATAATCTACAATACAGATTTCAGAACGGTGTTTTAATTTCAGGATTACACTGAAGGATCAACAGGCAACTTAATTTCCAGAAGCTAGGTTCTGTCTTCATATCTAGGACAGCAGCAAAAACATCTCCAAAAGTACAAATATTGCTTTAAGGACAGCCTCTGTAAGTCAGTGGTTGCTGGCTTTGATTACCTATTAGTTTATATTCAAAAATAATTATATCGGGAAATTTAGCTGTGTTTTATGTGCCCGTTCTTTGCATATTTGTGGGACCATATCTGTTGCACTGCTAGATAACATTGCTGATGAAAGGTCTGGGCAAATTTATTGGAATAGTGAATTTCTGTCAACCGTTAGTAATTAAATTTGTGGCTCTGATTCTACACTCCTGTTTGGAGATGTTGTCTCTAAACGATGGCACATTTTTAGTAGCAATTACTTATATTACTTAATAGAACCACCATGATAACTGGCCCTATTCATTATAATGTAGGACAGCAAGGAGCACTTAATACAAGAATACATACAGTGCAAGAGTGGGCAATTGATTTTTCCCAAGGTGCCACAAAAAGAAACAGGGATTGTTGTGGAAGGCCAAATAGGGCTGTGAAGATGTGCAGACATACTAAATTGAAAAAAAAAAATAGCAGTGGCCTTCAAAATAAAAGCAATGCAGTTGTATTGCATGCATGGCATAGACTTATATTTAATTTCTAATTTCCAATTAATCTCCTGTGGACTGGACAGGGACAACAAAAGGGCCAGATGTGGCCCAACGGCATAAGATGCCCAGATCTGCTGTACAGTATCAGATAAATAGTTCATTTCCTTTTGTTAAAGATGTTTTTCTGCTTCAATAAATTGATATATGGTAACAAAATATAAACAAATGTACACTAAGTTACATACTTCATGAACACAAAATATTACGTTGGATAGGTTTTATCTTCTTCTGTAACAAAAGATATGGGATGGAATGCTGTGTCCAATCAGTTTGTCAGCTCATATAAATGTATTGTCTATCTGAAGAATATTTTCAATTCCTTCAAATGATATAACATAAAAGCTAAGCCAAAGGAAAAAAGAAGCGGAATATGTCAACAGAAATAAAAATAAAAATCATCAAATATTTATGTACCATTTATATGCAACTTCTTGAGGCCAGTGTGAAAATTCAATGTGAAACAAGGAATATACTGTATACTTCTTTAATAATGAAGCAAGTATTGATGTAAAATTAATGCACTGAGCTACCAAAAATAATTGCATTTACTATTACATGCACATCTTTAAATATTCTGAAGACAAACCAATAAAGGAGCATTATTTAACCACATTAAGCTGGTTTATTAATCATGGTTTACTGAACAAACCACAATAGCTGGTTGGTTCAATTCACTAATGTAAAAAGTAGCTTTGAAGAGATGTGCAGTACTTCGGCTTCAAAGGCCAAAACATGCTTCAAGCCACACAGGAGTCTCCATATGGCAGTGGTTCTCAACCTTTTTAATGCCGCGACCCCCAACTGGTCGTAAGTCGAGAACTACCCAACCGGTCGTAAGTCAAGGACTACCCAACCGGTTGTAAGTCAAGGACTTTCCCTGCCCAGGAGTGCCGCACATGCGTGGTGCCGCCCCCTGCGCCGGCCGAGGCGTAGCTGGCAAGGGGCAGCGACGGCGCAGGGCGACCACCGGCTGGGCCACCAGCTGGCCCAGCCCAAGGGAGGTAAGGTACCTGCCGGGCCCCACGTGCGCCAGCAACCCTCCCTGCACCCGCCAGTCTCCCACTCCTGGCCCTCTTTTACTTACATTTTTAGTAGTTGCTCAGCAGGGAGGGGTGGAAACTTCCAGATAGCTCGCCTTCGCTGCAGACAACTTACAGCACCGTTTGCAGAATGGGACTTTTGGCGGGCTCAGCAGGGCAGAGACAGCCTGGACAATTCCTATTGGCTTTTGAAAGCCAATAGAATTAGACTCTATTCAAGAGAGTCTATTCTATTGGCTTTCAAAAGCCAATAGAATAAAAGGGAGTAGCACAGCTAAGGAAAGGGGGGGGGGAAATGGCGGACTGTGTTGTTTGGCGACCCCCGTGAAATGGTCGTTCGACCCCAAATCGGGTCGTGACCCACAGGTTGAGAACCGCTGCCATATGGTACCTGTCTACAAGTGTTACATCATCTGTGTTTTCCTAGATTGTGCAATGGCAGCCCTCAATTGCTCCAAAATACATGTACAGCATCTGAGCTTATTGCTTTGTGTGAATTCAATCAATGCACATGCTTAGAGGCAAGATTGGAAACTAAAGGATTTCCACTTTTACTTCAAGCCGATTCCCTCTTTTTCACTAACCTTTATAGGATTTTTATCCAGTTTCTCCCAGAAAGTAAGGATATATGCAACTAAGTAGTTTCACCCAATTAGAAGGAATTATATGGAAGTTTAAGATGGGGATTGGCATTTATTTAAAATACGTGTTTGTATTTTAAAAATGATTTATAGAGGACCAGAGTAGCTTCCAGAGTTGTTCCCTCTACATTTTTGTGGGTGTTTAAAGCCAACCCAAATGATGTTCCCCAACTTGTTCTCCTTTTTCGGGCTTGGTTCCTCCTATATGAGCAATGATTGCAATGTTCCTCCAATACAGTAATTTGTCAGTAATTTTAGCAGTGCAATTCTTGGTGTTGGAAGTTGGGAACTGTATGTAGTTCATCCTTTCCAATTCTGAGTTGTTGCAAAATATCTAGACAGAACACGAAGCACATGATTTTGTGATCAAAATGGGCTATTTAGGTCTTTCAAGTAAATATATTTCACTGGAAACGTCAGATGAACAAACGGTCCTCTTTATTTAATAAAAACAAAATGCTCAGAATATACCCACCACATAATCAAGAAAACATAATGCTCTTTAGGAAGTTTCAGTTCCTTTGAATACTGCACAGTAACTGCAAGCACAAGGCAAAATGAAAGAAACCCTATTAAATGAAAAGTAAACAAGTTTATTTCTGTAAATTAAAATCTGCACTCGTCCAGACAATGTCAATTTTAGACCAACTGATTACCATTTTCCCCCATTGACATTCACAGACAAGGACACATATATCATTACTCCTGAATTGCTAAAGCAGAAAAACATGCAACAGTGGCAGAAATTTGTTTCACACTAAAATCAGCACATTTGGGGGGGGAGGGCAGCCATATATTTCAAGGCTTAATATTTTGCTTTATTTTTCTTCTAAATTCTCCTCTGCTCTCGTCTTATATCCAACTTCTCCCCGTCACACTGCTCTTCCCGTTCGGCACCATGCCAGATACATCTCCTTCTATATCCAACAGAAACTTTATCCCGTTTCCTAATACCTTCAGATCAGGAATGAAGTTTGGCCTGATTAATATTATGCTTGTTTCTGGTTTAGAAAGATAGGCAAGATTGGAGGTTCATAGGTTGGGTAAGGCTAAGCCCGATTTTCAAATATATTGTGGCAAAACAAACATGCACACAAACAATTGGGCGAGAATATTCAGTAATGGAAATCTGAGAATGAATACTTGCTGTAGAGGCAAGATGTTTTAGAGTCCCAGGGGTTCTCAACCTTGGCAACTTTAAGACTTGTGGAGTTCAAGTCCCAGAATTCCTCAGCCAGCTTTGCTTTAAAGTTGCCAAGGTTGAGAACCCCTGTTTTAGACACTTCCCAAATCTGCTGCATTACATGCTAGCTATTATTGGCGATATCAACTTGTACGGTCGCTTTGATCTTAAGCTGCCACCTGGATAATTTAGTGACATATTCTGCCTAGAGGGAAAAAAAACGACCATAAAATGGATCTGTACAATGGCTTTGCTAAAATATTTCTCCATCACTCCTTCCACAAGTTAACACTTGTTCTAACCCAGGGGTCTTCAAACGTGGCCCTTTTATGACTTGTGGACTTCAACTCCCAGAATTCCTCAGCCAGGCACACTGGCTGAGGAATTCTGGGAGTTGAAGCCCACAAGTCATAAATGGGCCACATTTGAAGACCCCTGTTCTAACTGGCTTTGCTTCAGGCACCTGAGTTCAAATATTGCCGCAAGACAAATGAAAGCAAGAAAGTTACAGCATGATATTTCCTAAGGCAGCCGTCACCTAACTACATTAAAGTCTGAGATTTTGTGAATATCCAGGGCAATTTGTGCCATGCGTTTCTGACAGCTAAGAAATTCTGCAAACCCAAACACTGTACATTGCGTCAATGGCAGGTAATTAAAGTAACAATCCAGGTGAAGGAAGCCAAGAAAGAGGGAGACATGGTAAAGATCAACCATCAGTGTTAAGTGAAATCGCATGTCAACAAATTTACATTTAAAAAAAAGGAAAAACCCTTATAAAAAGATGTTACTAAAAAGATGTTACTAAGACAAAGCCACAATAAGTTAAGTATTTATGTAAAATGGCATGCTGCTTGTTATTGTCTCTAAATGCCTATATACGTGGGACAGCATAGTTGTATATCTGAGGTACATTAGTTTATATATATATAGATAAATATTGTAAAAAGGTTATTTTTTTCCATCCAGTTTTTTGTCTTCTTCAAGGAAGAACAATGGAAACATTCCTAAAAGGCAGCCAATGGTCACTCCAATAGCTTTACCCTAAAAAATAATAATGGGGGGGGAGGAATAAAGAGAATGGGATGTTCATTTAGGATCAAATCCGATACTTAACATCCAATTAACATCATTTATGTTGTTCAGGCTGAGGTTTTCAATTTAGGAGCTCATCACTTTGCACAGGAAATAATGTGCAATTAAGTGGATTTGAAATCCTCATTAGAATCAGTTGCATGCAGATTATGATGCATAATCTACACTAAAATATTCCGTTTCTATTTTTATCCCCACAGGAATAATAGGTAATAATGCATACATACTTGGTATCCAAATTCTAATATTTAGGCAATATTGAAGTTGCTATTTTTCTCTGTCTTGGTTTCACTTGAACTCTCATCCATAAATGCACATACTCACCAAGTGTGCACTAAGACGTGTTTGCCACATATCAGCTTGTTTGGGTGTGAGATCGGGAATTGAAAGGCCCAATCTGGAGGCCATAGCTTCAACATAGCCTGCAAGACTTGGGAGATAAATACAATTATGTTGAGCACATGAATCTCTGAAACATACCGGTACCAATTTTGCTTAATTTTTATTAACCGTAGAAAAATAGTGAGCAATTATGGTAAAGAATCAGGTTGTATAAAATTCTGTACTGACAATAAATTACACAGTAGAAAAGGGAGCATTTTTAATCTTGAATGCAATATTCATTGATTCATAAGCACATATGTTTGTGTACACTTGAGAGCAAGCAACTAAATTTCATTTTTAATGTGTGCCGTTGTGCCCATAGGAAAAAAAATGACAATAAAGTTATCATCATCATCACATAAACATTCTAATGTAGGTATAGCATAGGTGACAAAAACCTAAGCCCCTTCCTTTCCCCTTCTGTATTTTTATCATTCTTGCCTTTTTAAAAAATACTTAATGTGAAATATTTTTGTTTTGAAAATCATTTTATTCTTAAATCATGCTAAATTTATTAAACCTCCTTAAATGCTAAATTTTCCCTGGAAAAGCAGAATATAAATTTAATAAAAATACAGTTCCTCACTACATGGCTGTTTTGGTTACACTACTGTCAGCTCCTCAAATTCCCATTTTTCTTCACATATTATTACCAGATTTGAGAACAGGGTAAGAATTCAAAACAGAATGAGAAAATATGAACTTCAGGATAGCAGGTACTAATCTATGAAGTTACACCCTTTGCTCCAACACTCTAACTTGAATTGTATTTCACATTCCAGTTTCATTACTCTGTACCAGCCTATCCTCAAATCCCGATAAATGTATCAAAATTAAAAACACGAGGGAATGTGAAAAATATTTCCATGTTCAAACTAGGTTGCTAGTTATTAGGGTGCTTTTCCAGCTATCATTCTGAGCTAAGACTAGCAAGGCATTTTGAGCTTCAAATGTTGTATTATAGAAAAATATTGCATGTTCATGAAAAAATATAATTAAACTTACCCCAATCCAGCTAAGTCTGAGACAAGATTTCCCAAGGCAGCAGCTAGAAAGTTGGAAAATTCCAGTATTATATAAATTAGTAACACACTGCAGAAATATGCAGCAAATTATTGCTTAAAATTAAAATTATTCTGAAGACTATTTTTAGATATATTTATATACCTCATAAAAGCTGCTTTTCAACATGTTATAAAATAAAACATATCAATCAATCAGCTATCATTTTTAAAAAAGGTATCAGAGCATCATAAATTTAGCAGGGTAATTTACAAAATTGTTTAGTAATTGGCCATGGCTGATCTCTAGGAGCATAAGCACTTCTAGGTTATTGCTATTAAAAGTGAAGAGGCCATCTCAGATTTATTTTTATTTTTTTTGGTAATGGGAGAATCTGAAATACAATCCTCAAAAGAGGAACTTTAGGGAAAAAAATTATTTTAGATGGGCAATTCCTAAGAAGATATTTTAAGTTAAAAAAGGAGTTTGATTTGAGCCCAGAATCAAGCTGGAAACCAGGGAAATTAATATAAAAATATGAATTGTAAAGTACTTAATGTCTCACAAAGACTAAACCTCTGTTCTCCATTCTTTAGTATAAATATGTATGGATGATTAGCTCAAACTAGAAATCAAGCATCGTGAAAGCTACATGTTATTTTCTGCAGGTATCCCACTGGCCTCTATGGGAAGGGAATATTGATGTGACAGATCTTTAATCTGCTCCAACAAAACACTGTTTATATTCTCCAAAGCAAGATCATCAACAATGGTTCATCTACGATAAACCAATATTCAAAATTGAATTTAAAACTAAGTACAGTAGTGTTTATTTTATTTGAAGAAAGCATATTTATGTCTCAAAATTATACCAAGCTTTCTAATGTCAAACTAATAAATAACACGTAAAAGATAAAACAAATTTCTTCAAAAGCTGGAAGCAAAATGAGGAGCCAGTTCTTCATATGGAGAGTCTGGATGCATATCAAGCTAAACTAAAGATTGTTAAACCGTAACAGCAGACTTAGCCAAAATCCAACATCCTACAATGGCCTAATGCCAAGTGACTCATCCTTTAACCTGCTTTTAAAAAAGCAATCAAAAAGTTGTGTCCAAACAGATGGACAGGTCAATATGAATTTCACTGCGCACATAAACTTAAATGATAAATAAATAGCTATAAAAATCTACATAAACAGCAATGATCTTGATTACTTGCCTGCCATGGTAGAAATTCCAAACACAATCCCTATTGATAGCTCTATCTGTGTGCCCTAAAAATAACAAGAGAGTTTCATCATTATCCACACATTATGTAGACCAGACATGTCAAACTCGCGATGTCACACGACGTATTGGAGCTTCTTCTCCATTGCCTGCAATGGGGTGGGCGTGGTTTCCTGGTGACGCATCCGGCCCGCGGGCTGGCAGTTTGACACCCCTGATGTAGACAGAACTTCAGGAATCACTTGTAGGAAACAATGCAAGTGTAAAATGGGGGAGGGGCACCATCTGCTCACCCAATTCCTCCAGAAGACCTCCAAAGCAATATGCATGGCACTGCATTGTTGTAATGGTGTGTTAAAGCAGAACCGAAATTAGCCATGCTGCATTGCTGCAATACTACCAACAGAAATATTTTAGAATATATAAAGATTGGTACCAAGATGACTTACCGCAGCAATCATAATGGCATTATCAAAAAATCCAAAGCCTACAAAAGGTACTGCATTGTGGAAGAACACTAGAACAGAGAGAGGCGTACAATGTTTTAAGTATTTAATCGCCATTTGCAATTACATCAAATAATATGACATTATTATTTATCCAAATAAGGATTGAAAAGTGCTTAAAATCCCAGGCATGACACTGTTTCTATGAATAACCCAAACCAGAAGAGGCTTTTCATACTCTCTTGAATACAGCTAACTACCAGCAATTTGTATGCAGCGATCGCAAACACCAAAGTGACTATTCTTTGAAAGGCCAGATTCATTCTGGGTACTTTCTAAATAATTCCATCTGCAGTAAGGGTGATACAGAGGAAAAAGCCACACATACGTAGAGGAATCAGTGACAAAATTGCTCTGGACACAGCTGAACAAGTAATTTTAGCCAATTTGTAACTGGGAGAGAGATGAGGAAGAATTCAAGAGATCCTCATCAGAGCAGACCACTCTGTTACAGATGCTGAATTAGCATGGCAAATACTGTCCCCCCCCCCCAAAGTAAAAGTAATAGCCAAATACTAAAAGTGGTAACCCTGCAGTTCTTTGAGGCTTTCAATTCCTTAACCCATGAAAACATCTGATTTTTTAAAAAAAAAAATACATTTACCGTGTTTCAGTTGTCCGGTGTTTGGTGGCGCAACCTCCAGCTTCTCTAAATTTAAACAAAGGAAAATATAAGCACAGACATATTTGGCTAGTTATTTTGTACACAAGCACTGTTTAAATGTGAAGACGTAAAATAATTCTGATGAAAAAAATATAGGTAAGGTAGATTCTCCACAGACTTAATTGGGATTAAAAGAACGGCCTCTTCAGTCACCAAATATGACACATTTTTTCTTAACTTTGTTACCAGTATGTTAATATCCCACAATTTAAAATGACTTATCATATTCAAGGAATGGGCAAGAAGCAGACTGTGAAAAAAAAATCATTTATTCTTTCATTACCTGGATAAATTTCATTCTTAGCCAGGGAAGGCAGAACTACCTTGATCCCTAAACCTGTACTATAAAAAATATTAAACTGCCAAGAATAATTTTGTAATATTAGTTTATGGCTATCAAACAGCTCCATATCAGAAATCTTTATCAATTTCTACTGACTTCAAGGATTACTCAGGAAATAAAACTGATTTAATTAACAATGGAAAGAAATTTCTTAAGCAGTGTAATTGACAGTGTAACTTACATTCACCAGCCATATTAGAGAATTAAGGAGATCATGAAGTTTAAGGTTTGTGTGTTATTAAAGAAAGATTTTAATTTCTGTTTGCAATGTGCAGTATATTTCTATTTAAGGTGCTTAGATTCACTTGACTGAAGCAATATATAGACATACGCCCTAAACCCATTTTTGTGATAAGCAGCCTATAGGGGTAATTGATTATGATATAAGAACAAAAGTACTGATCATGCTTGGCGAAGAATTATGGCAAATGGATATAATTTAATCATGTTTCAAACAAGTCATCAGTAACATTATGACTCCTTCTTTGCAAACCACGGTGGCTGCATTCACAAATCACATGCAGCCAGACCCAGAGTCCATTACAACATTAAGCAATGTGCACACACAATTATATATTGCATCAAATGTAGCTCTGGTGACCATTTAGCACAGTCTAACCTGTTTCTCCATGTAAAGCTCCTGGAGTAAGAGGAGAAAATAGAAACAATACAATGCAAAATAAATATGTCAGTTCAGAGCCTCTGAAAGATGATATAAAGAAATCTACATATACAGATTGAAGGATTTTATCTTCCCTGAATTTACTTTTTGTGGCTCAATATGGTACTATGTCAGAGTATATAGTTATGTATTCTCTCACCAATCTGTCTGTTAAGGCAAAGTCACTTGATGGTGAGAATCTTAAATACATTATAACAAAAGCAGATTTTTTTTTCTCTTTGTACAGAGGAAGATTTTATTCATGAATCCTTTAAAAATGGCACAGTATAATAAAGGAAATTTGCACTGCTGGATAAGAGGCACAGGAACCAAATCAATATTTTAACCTTATTTCAATAACTGGAACATTCTCTTAGAAACTGATTATGAGAACAAAAGCTTCAATGGTTTCATTTGCAGGTTTTACATGGATATGCAAATAATGATCAAATATACTTTTAATGGTAACTTCTTTCTTTTGGCCTCATTAATATAAAAAAATAGTTATCATTCAAAGATAGATAAAGAATTCTGTGAGCTGAGATACCATATGTACTTTTCTGTCTAATATTACACATTAAAATTAACCCACCTTCAAAATGTATAAATAAATGTATATTCTTCTATATTTTTTTCGATCTTTCTTACAAGTAATTGTTGACTTATGACTACAATTGGGACTTCCATAGCTAAGTGATACAGCCATTAAGTTAATCATGCTTATCTTTTTTTTTTTTTTTTTTTGCTGCAGTCATTAGCAAACATGGATTCCACCACTGATTTTGCCTGTTGGAAATAGCAGTAGCACTTAGACTTATATACCGCTTCACAGCCCTTTCTAAGCAGTTTACGTAGTCAGCATCTTCTCCCCAACAATCTGGGTCCCCATTTTATTGATCTCGGAAGGATGGAAGGATGAGTCAACCTTGAGCCAGTCAGAATCAAACTCCTGGCAGTGAACAGAGTCAGCCTGCAATATGCATTCTAATCACTGTGCTACCATGGATCTATAAACCCTCCGGAAAGGTTACATGGCTGGCTCAGGAATTTTGGGAGTTGAAGTCCACGAGTCATAAAAGAGCCAAGGTTGCCTACCCCTGTCCTAGGACAATACTTGACAGGTGCCCAAATTCTGATCATCTGACAGTGGGGATCCCACAATGGTCTTAAGTCTTGCAACATTTTTTTCAGCACCATCAGAACTTTGAACCATTGTTAAACAAATTATTGTTAAGTCAAAGACTACCTGTGTGCTACAATCACATCAATTCTTGGTGACAGTTTGGTATCGCACCAGAACTTTTAATCTATAGCTTGCATTTTTGCATGGTAAGCTTGGATCAGTAAATGGAGGGGAAGAATAAGGAAGTGCTTGTATTATCAAGTTGTGAACCAGTTTCTTCTGGGTCACCCACATTTGAACCATGCTTTGTCTGGAACACATGCTGAAAAATGTAAGAAAATTATCAGGTGGGCAGTAGTACCTTGCTTGAAAACAGCGGCCTTTTCCTGCTACTTGTTTGTTTCCAAGATTGTCTTATTTATTAATAATGTTACTCTAAAAGATTTTTTTGAAGAAGTGGCTTTGGATCATGTTAGTGTTTATTTGCATGAGATTTAGGAACTCGCCCAAGTGGTTTAATGTGCTCTTTAGCATTTGAAGCAAATGGTTCTTGTCATTGTAACTTGTGGAAATTAATTCCATATACAGTATAATTACACTTAGTATGAATAAAGTTACTGCTGGTCTTCAATGATTACTATACAGCTGCTTTTCTCTGCCTGCTTTTTCTGTACTGGCTGTAATTTCATTTATTTCTGATGTGTTATTTTTTATGAATGGAAAGTCTTACATCACTTTTACTCTTGTTGTTCTCAGGGTCCAACCAGTTATTACAAGTAGGCTTCATAACAAAAGGACAGCTGATTAGGTCTGACTGTTCTTCAAATCATGGTTTGCTATTATATCCAGTTAAGACAAAAAGATGTCAAAATGTCAGTTTCCTAAATTAAATTGAAAATAACCCATAGTAAAACACATATTACAGACCTTATCAGAATATACAAGCTTTTCAGATACAGCCTTTCTCACTTCATCTAAAAACTATTGTACCTGCTTAAAACACTAAGGTAAGTCCTTTAGTTAAAGTGAGATCAGTTTAAATTAAACTGCAAGCAAATTCTGATTAAGAATTTGGCTTGTGATCCTTTTAGACCGGTTTGGCAGCTAATTAGGATAATTTTGATTTTAGAAGCAAAAGCCCTCATCTCCTTACTGTTATTTTAGAAGCAAAAGCCCTCATCTCCTTACTGTTACTCTGAAAGAAATCAAATGCTGATGCAGACAGAATTAACCAAAAGCATTTATATTAGCACATGCCAGATAATTTGATGGGGAAACATTAGTAAGTTCATGTGAGGTTATATGACCAGAACCTTTTACTCACATCATGCCTTATTTATCAACAAATAGCAAAATTTACTGTACCCAAAGCCCTACGTTGTTCTGCTGATGCTACCTGTTTCATTGACATCTTAAATGGTACCAGTGGTTTAGGAAATCTGGATGCTAAAGAGTTTTCATACAAAAGAAATATCATGTTATTTTACTTTCAGCTGAACATTTTAAAAGTTCATTATCCAAACCTAGAATCCCAAGTTTATTTATTTAAAAATTAACAGTCACTGACTTTAATAGGCATTACTTCCTTATAAATACTGTTTATCTTGCATCCGCTCACTATGAAATTTGCTCTGTAGGATGGAACATTACATTGAAAATGAACTTTCATTCCTCCTTCACCAAATTAAACATATAACTATATTCTCATTTAATCTGGTCCCTTGCACCCCATAAAAACACTTGCAGAGAAATATGAATTCTCGTGGAAAAAGGTTTGAAATATTTGTGAGTTGTAGCAGGAAATAGCTTAGTTGATAGTGAAGATTTTCTGACTTGAATTCTAAGGCAGTATTAGTTCATTACTAAAATAAAAAATAATCAATGACAGTACAATTTGTCTTCCATGCTTCCAACCCACCTTGTTGTTCTGACCAGGGGATGATGGGAGATTTTCACACACCATTTTCAGTCCCACCAACTCACCACAAACATCCAGTATCCTGTGTTTTTCCTTACCAATGTCATTCTTGCCATGTCATAAACAACTCACGCACCAATCAGTCCGCCACTCAATTAAGCACCAGAGATGGGCAAAAAAAAACAAAAAACCACCCTCTGCTACCTAACAAAATCTACACTCCCAGGGTGCCTCAGAGCTTGATGCTCTCACCACATCTGTTTTACATGTACATGAGGCCACTGGGTAAGTTCATTTGCTGGATCAAGGGCAATTATCACCAATAATTTATGTATCTTGTCCTTCGACTGGAATGCTGTTGCAATGTCCCAATATTTAGATGCTGTGAGAGTTTGGTTATAAAGGAACAAGCTCAACCCAACCTGGCAAGACTGAGTAGCCGTGATTGTCTGGGCCCCGTGGTGTTGGGAATCCTCCAACTTTGTTCCTAAATGGGGCTACATTACCTTATTTAGGTCTTGTGTGCAATTTGGGGTTCCACAGCTACAATTTGAAAAACAGGTGGTAGCTGAGGCCAAGAGGGCCTTCACATGGGGTATCTGGCACTAGCTGCACCCTTTTCTGAACCAGAAGGCACTTCTTACAATCATTTATTTGGTCGCTTTGACATGCATCATTGCAATGTGCCCTTGAAAACCATTTGGAAGGTATAGGAGATCCAGAATGTAGCAACACAACCAATGATGGGGGCAAGTGCATCATGCCCATATTACTGGTTGACTTCCAGGTGCAATTTAAGATGGTGGCTGATATCTTTAAAGTCCCACACGGCACAGGGCCAGGTTATTGTCTTACCTGAACGCCTTTTCTCAGCACGGAGATGGATAATCCACCAATGGGTTAACTCAATCCTCCTGCCCAATCAGATCAAGTCAGCCAA